TTTTTTTTTTTTCCATTTGTTTAGCTGGCCCAGGCCAGGCTTGAACCTGCCACCCTCAGTGCATATGGGAGCACCATAACCCCTGTGCTATAGGTGCCAAGCCTAGACTGGGAGCTCTTTTGAGATACAGCTCCATATGTTCATCTTTTTATTTCTGACAACTGGCAGAGTTCTATTACATACTACATGTAATAATTGCTAATTAAAGTATGTGTTGTATTGACATGAATGACCATGAGAATATTTGTGACTAAATAATAAATTTATTTCTTTAATGACAACATTATGCCAAGTACCATAGCAAAATACACAGAGCAGGTGTGATCTCTAAGCCTACTTTAGGTGAAGCAGAGAGGAAAACTAAGCAGGGGGGTTTATTTTTTGTTGTTTTTTGTTTTGTTGTGTTGTGTTGTGTTTTGTTTTGAGACAGAATCATACTCTTATTGCCCTGGGTAGAGTACCATGGCATCATAGCTCACAGCTACCTCAAACTCCTAGGTTCAAGCCATCCTCTTGCCTCAACCTCCTAAGTAGCTGGGATTATAGCTGCCTGCCATAACACCATGCTAGTTTTTCTATTTGTAGTAGAGACAGGGTCTTGCTCTTGCTCAGGCAGGCTTCGAACTCCTGAGCTCAAGCAGTCCACCCATCTTAATCTCCCAGAGTGCTAGTAGTATAGGCATGACCTACTGGGCTCAGCCGTAAGCAGTTAATTTTGGATACAGTGTGTGAAACAAATTTAACAAAGATTTTAAAAGGCAGACCAAAAGAATTTTGGTATTACCTAGAAAGTATTAGAAGCTGTGGAAATTTTGTGAAGAGAGGAAAACTTGCTGGCACGATATTTTAGGATGATTTAAGAAGAAGATATAGTGTGGATTAAAAGCTGGAGCGTACCTATAGATAGGAAGAAATCACTGCAATGATGAGAACCTGATCTTAGGAGATAGAAATGGAAATAGGAAAGAATGAAGAGATGCTAGAGAAGTTCCAAAGGTATACACAGTAGAGAGCTTGATTGAATGAAGTTTTTAAAAGGTGTGGCATAGATAACTACCATGTTATAGAACATGGAGAAATGGAGAAGTTTCAAAGTGTAAAGAGCATGGTTAGCGATGTCAGGGGGAAAGTGATGAATGGCTTAGAACTTGCTGAGTTTTAGTTCACTGCCAGAGAACCAAGTAGAAAACCCCAAAGGAGCAGTTGTGGAATAGTAATAATATATGTCAGAGGTTAGAGTAAAGAGGGAAAGTTAAGTCATCAGAGCTCATCATATTTGGAGCTGTGAGAATTAATCTTAGGCAGAAATAGAATACAGAGAAGAGTAAAAGGCTGGGCTCGGCGCCTATAGCTCAACAGGCTAAGGCGCCAGCCACATACACCTAAGGTGGCGGGTTCGAATCCCCAGCCCGGGCCCGCCAAAACAACAATGACGGCTGCAACCAAAAAATAGCCGGGTGTTGTGGCGGGCGCCTGTGGTCCCAGCTACTTGGGAGGCGGAGGCAGGAGACTCGCTTGAGCCCAGGAGTTGGAGGTTGCTGTGAGCTGTAATGCCACGGCACTCCGCCCAGGGGGACAGCTTGAGGCTCTGTCTCAAAAAAAAAAAAAAAAAGAGTAAAAGGCTGATGCTTAGAAGCATCTGTGCATATGGATCGGACAAGTAGCTTGGAGGCCATCTTAAAGGAGATACTAGAGAGTAAAAAGGAGAAATAATCCCTCAAAAGCAACATAGTAGTTTTTTTTCTTGTGCTACACACAGAAGTCTCAGGTGATTCCTGAGTAAATTTTTAGAGAGGCACCTTTGAGAATGCATTCTAGTTTGAAGACGAGAAAGCGTGTTAGTTTGGGAGGAAAAGAGCAGTGGTCAGAATGAGAAGAGAAATTGGTACAGCTTCTCAGTATACACTGAAAATCTGATGAATAGATAAGAAGTAGGATAGGCTGATGCAGTGGCTCATGCCTATAATTCTCGCACTTTGAGAGGCCAAGCTGAGGGGATTACTTGAATTCAGGAGTTAAGACCAATCTGAGCAACACTACAAGACCCCTCCTCTATGAAAAATTATCTGGTAATGATGGTGTGCACCTATGGTCCTAGATACTCAGAGGTTTGAGGTAGAAGGATTCTTGAGCCCAGGAGTTTGAGGTTGTAGTGAGGCTATGATCACTCCACTGTATTCATGCTTCAGCAACAAAGTGAGACTTTATCTCACAAAAAAGAAGTAGGACTACTCTTAGAAATAATACTGGTGAGTAAGGCTGTCTAAACACGAAAGGGGCCAGGCTCAGGCTTATAATCCTAGCACTCCTGGAAGTGCAAGGGAGATTCCTTAAGGCCAGGAGTTTGAGACCAGCCTGAATAATGTAGTCAGGCTGCAGTCTCTACAAAAATTAACTGGAGAAACAGTGAGATTATGAGATCATAGAATTTTAGAGGCCAATTAGTTTGTTGTTTGTCTTCTTTTTGCTTTCTATTTTTGTTTTTGTTATATTTTTATTTTTACTTTTTGACTCAGTTTATTTAGAGATGAGCATGGCTAGTCTGGTCAAAGTTATGAGCCAGAACTGTGTCAGCAGCAAAGGGCAATAATACTTTTAAAAATGTCAATAATGGCTCGGCATCTGTGGCTCAAGCGGCTAAGGCGCCAGCCACATACACCTAAGG